CTCGGGCTGGTCCCCCAGCGTTCTGACAATCCCCCCCCGCGCGATGGGTCGGCGGCGCGCAGAAAGGGGGACTGGGGCGAGGGGGGAGGGGCAGCCTGTGGGCCCTGACCTCGAAGGAACTCGAAGGTTCTCTCGGACGAGGGGGGGGTGTTAGGAAAGGGGGGATTTGCCAACCAGCTCACGCAGCTCCGCTCCGCCCGAGGGCCCCCCGTCTGGGGAATCAAAATGGCACCGATACCGCCACAACCATCGCGCTACCACAAACCAAACGAAACGTTGCGTGAGGAACGAAGAGGCCCTGTTCAGAATACCGCCCCCACGGGTCCCCGAAGAAATTCGTGGTTCAGTCGAAGGGATTAGTCCGTTCCCTGCCGAGGGGCGGAGGGATGCGGGGGGTCTAGGGAGGGGGGGGCTCCCGTGTCAGAAAACCGCCCCCACAGGGTCCCAGGGGGGAGAGTCGCCAGCAGGAGTCTTAGTCTTGGAGGAGGTCCCGCCTTCAGGGTCGGCGGCGCTGGCCGAAGCCCTTCGCAGTAAGGAACGAAGGGACTTCTCTGGCCACGGCGAGCCTTGGCTTCGAAAAGGTCCCCCGACCTAGATCTACGGAACGGCCCGAAAACCAAAGCCACTCCTGAGCCCACAGCGGTCCTTACTTCAGCGTCTTGGCTGGACTCCCCGGCCCTCTCCTGAGGTGCGTTCTGACCAAGCATCTCGGGGCGAATCCGCCCGTGGTGACGAGGGAAGGCCAGCGGTATCGGTACCTTTTCCCTCGTCTGACCCCCTGAGCGCGTGCGGAACCCGAGCCCATCCGACCGCCCAGCGGGCCCAGGGATCGAGCCCGCTCGGCGGCCGAGCGGGCTCGGACGCCAAACGGGCTCACAGGGGCCCTCCCCCTGGGTGCACGATCCTGGCCAGCTGTTCTGGGCCGACCGGCCGCCCGCCGACCACGGCGAGAGCCTCCAGAGCCGCCCCAAGAACCTCCCGAAACGACAACGTCGTGGGCGACGTTGTCCGGAGGCCCGCGAGGGGCAGCGTTGTCGTCGTCGCCCTGCTCTGCCCCCCTTGTGCGCGCCGCCGAGATGTCGACGATCTTGACGGTCGCGTCCCAGGAGGCGGTCGCGAAGGCGGAGCTATCGGGGTCCATGGCCACGCCGTGCACTGGGTGGGAGTGGACCTTGATCGCCTGCACGGCAACCCCCCACTACTCCCGTTCCTCGTCGTCCCCTCGTCCTCGTCCCCGTCCTCGTCGTTGTCGTCGTCGTCGTCTTCCTCGTCGTCCTCGTCGTCCTCGTCGTCGTCGTCGTCGTCCTTGTCGTCGTCGTGGTCGTCCTTGTCGTCGCCTTCGTCGGCGTCCTCGCCCTCCTTATCGTCTTCGTCGTCCACGCCGTCCTCGTTCTCCTCGTCAATGTCGTCATCGTCCTCGACGTCGTCGTGGTTGTCCTCCTCCTCCTCCTCCTCCTCCTCCTCCTCGTCCTCCTCCTAGTCGCCTTCGTCGTCGCCATCGTCATCGTCGTCGACGTCGACGACGTCGTCGACATCGTTGACGTCGTCGTTCTCGCCGTCCTCGTTGGCCTCGTCGTCCTCGTTGTTCTCGTCTCTCTCGTCCTCGCCGTCGTCGTCGTCGTCGTCGTCCTCGTTTTCGTCGTCGTCGTCGTCGTCTCCGTCGTCGTCCCAGTCGTAGTCGTCCTCGTCGTCCTCGTCGTCCTAGTCGTCCTCGTCGTCTTCGTCATCGACGTCCTCCCCCTCCTCGTCTTCGTCGTCTTCGTCGACCTCGTTGTCGTCGTCGCTGTCGTCGTCGTCGCGGTCGTTGTCATCTTCATCGTCGTCTTCCTCTTCGTCGTCGTCGTCCTCATCGTAGTTGTCCTTGTCGTGATCCTCGTCTTCGTCCTCCTCGTCGTCATCGTCGTCGTCGACATCGCCGTCGTCGTCGTCGTCCTCGTCGTCGTCGTTATCGTCCTCGTCATCGTCGTCGTCCTCCTCCTCCTTGTCCTGGTCGTAGTCGTCGTCGTCGTCGTCGTCGTCGTCGTCGTTGTCATCGTCCTCGTCGTACTTGTCGTCGTCATCTTCGTCGTCCTCGTCGTCGTCGTCGTCGTCGCCGTCGTCGTCGTCGTCGCGGTCGTCGACCTCTTCGTCGACGTCGACGTCGTCGTCGTCGTCGTCCTCGTCGTCGTCGTCGTCGTCGTCCTCGTCCTCGTCGTCGTCCTCCTCGTGGCATCGTCGTCGTCGTACTCGTCGTCCTCGTCGTCTTCATCGTTCTTGTCGTCGTCGACGTCGTCGTCCCTGTCGTCGTCCCTGACGTCGTCCTCGTCGTCATCGTCGTCGTCATAGTCGTCGTCGTCGTCGTCGTTCTCTTCGTCCTCGTGGTCGTGGTCGTCCTCCTACTCCTCGTCCACGTCGTCGTCGTGATCGTCGTAGTCGTCGTCCTCGTCGTCCTCGTCGTCTTCGTCGTCCTCGTCGTCCTCTCCGTCCTCATCGTCGTTGTCGTCGTCGTGGTCGTCCTTGTCGTCGTCCTCGTCGTCGTCCTCGTCATCGTCGTCCTCCTCGTCGTCGTCGTCATCGTCCTCGTCGTCGTTGTAGTCGTTCTCGTCGCCCTCATCGTCGTCGTCCTCCTCAACCTCCTCGTCCTCATACTAGCCGTAGTCGTCGTCTTCGTCGTCGCCGTCGTCGTCTTCGTCTTACTCGTCGTCCTCGTCGTCGTCGTCGTCGATCTCGCCATCGTCGTGGACATTGTGATCGTCGTCATCTTCGTCGTCCTCGTCCTCGTCGTCGTCGTCGCCGTCGTCGTCATCGTCGTCGTCGCGGTCGTCGTCGTGGTCGTCGTCCTCGTCGGCGTCATCGACGTCGTCGTCATCAACGTCGTCGTCGTCATCCTTCTCGTAGTCCTCGTCGTCGTCCTCGCCGTCCTCGTTCTCCTCGTCATTGTAGTCATCGTCCTCGACGTCGTCGTGGTCCTCCTCCTCCTCCTCCTCCCGCTCCTCCTCCTTCTCCTCCTCCTCCTCGTCGTAGTCGTCGTCGTGGTAGTCGTTGGCGTCCTCTTCATTGTCGTCTTCGTCGTCTTCGTACTCGTCGTCCTCGTCGTCGTCGTCGTCGACGTTGTCGTCGTCATCGTCGCCGTCGTCGTCGTTGTCGTCGTCGGCCTCGTTCTCGTCGCGGTCGTCGTCCTCGTCGCCGTCGTCGACATCGTTGCCGTCGTCCTCGTCGTCGTCGTCGTCCTTGTCGTCGTCCTCGTCATCGTCATCGTCGCCGTCGGTGTTGTTCTCGTCGTCCTCGTCCTACGTAGTCGTAGTCGTCGTCTTCGTCGTCGTCGTACCCGTCGTTCTCGTCGCCTTCGTGGTCGTCGCAGTCGTCGTCCTCTTCGTCATCGTCGACGTCGTCGTCGTCGAGGTCGTCGTCGTCGTCGTCGTCCTTGTCGTCGTCCTCATCGTCGTCCTCGTCGTCGTCCTCGTTGTCGTTGTCGTCGTCATCGTTCTCGTTGTCGTCCTCGTCGTCGTCGTCGTCCTCGTCGTCGTCGCCGACGTCCTACTCGTCTTTGGCCGAGTCGTAGTCGTCGTCTTCGTCGTCGTCCTCGTCGCACTGGTCGTCATCATCGTCTTCGTCGTCTTCCTCGTCGTCGTCGTCGACGTCGTCGTCGTCGCCGTCCTCCTACTCCGCCTCCTCCTCCGCCTCCTCCTCGTCTGCAACATCCCCGCACCGACGACACTCCAAGGAAAGTGCACCACGGTGCATGGCCCCCGTCGTCTGCTACGAAGAACGGGGGCGGGAAAGAGCAGGAGATAGAGAGAGGAGGAGGAGAAGGAGTAGGAGGAGGAGGACAAGGAGGAGGAGGAGGAGGAGGACAAGGAGGAGGAGGGAGAGGAGGAGGTGGAGGAGGAGGAGGGGGAGGAGGAGGAGGAGGAGAAGGAGGAGGAGGAGGGGGGGAAGGAGGAGGGGGCGGAGCAGGAGGAAGAGCAGGACGAGGAGGAGCATGACGGGCAGGAGGAGAAGGAGACGGAGCAGGAAGACGATCAGCAAGATGAGGAGGAAAATGATGATGATGCTGCTGATGATAATGATGCTGCTGATGCTGCTGATGATGATGATGAGGAGGAGGAGGAGGAGGACTGATGATGATGATGATGATGATGATGATGATGATGATGATGATGATGATGATGATGATTATGATGATGAGGAGGAGGAGGAGGAGTCGATGGAGCTGGCGCAAGCAGAGGAGCAGGCGGAGAAGGGCCAGGAGGGGGAGGGACTTGCGCACCTCGCATCCCTGGCCGGGGGGGGGTGGAGATCTACCGTGCTTGTCCGGCGAACGCCAGCATCGAATCGGGAACCCGAATCGGATCGGAACGTGTGCCGGATCGGGCTGCATCGGCGCGGAGTCGAGGCCGAATCGGATCGGCCACGCCAAGATGCACAGCAGCGCCATGCCAGCATCGGGCCGCATCGGCTCGTCGGAATATCGGCATCGAATCGGAGCGGACTGGCCGCCGCACTGCTCCGCCGCAGCGCGGCTTCGAGGGCGCACGGCCCAAAGGCCAGATTCGGCGCCCAACCGCTCTTCTGAAACGGCCGAGTGCCTGAGCCCAAATGGCGCAGGTAAAACATGGCCCCCCAAGAGATCGTCAGGCTATTTTTTTGGGGGGGGGGGCAGATCTCATGGATTTTCCCAGGAGCCAGCACTCCCCAGGTGGGACCTGTGTTCCTTGCGAGGGGGGGGGGGAACAGACACTCAGTCGCATCTGCCGAGGGCTGGCTCCTGGAAGAGCAAATCAGATTTACCTCCGTGGGCGGATAGCCAATGCTGCCATCTCTCGGGGGGCCATGCTCTACCTGCGCCACTTTCCGCCGCCCCTCCGCCCGCGGGGGCGGCCTCCTCACTTCCGCCGACCTCCCGCCGCCCTTCCGCCACACTCCGCCGAGGAAGAGATGGCAGCTCCTTCGATCCTCGAAGGAAAGGCCCCTTCCTGAGACTCCCTTCCTGAGACGAAGCCAGGACGAAGACAAATTTG